GGGCTGCGCACGAAAGGGGGATGAATTTATCCCGTTTCTAGCGGGAGATTCATTAGATTTTGCCTAACTTAATGACGAAAGAAGTGTGGGGAGCGAGGCAATGAGGTTGGTAGGGGGCCGCTCGGTTCGGGATGTATGCGCTGCCTGTAGGTAGTGACGGATGCTTGTCAGAGTGATTCCTTGGCTCAGTGGGCAGCAGTCTGCGGGGTTCAATCGTGATGTGGGCTGGCCATGTGCTACTTTGCTCGGTGTTGGAAATGTCGACGTCCTTGACTGAGCTCTATTATTGCCCCGCTGCTTGTATCTCGCTTGCTTCGCATGTGGTTCTTTGAAGAGCGATGTGTTCGCTGTGCGGTGTGGCCGTGTTGCTGCTATTGCCCTATGCTTTGCCGCTTCGCTGTCGTGCCCTCCGTGTTTGCCGCTCGTGCGCCTGTGGGTTGGTTACCTTGCTGCTGGTGCCCTGTACCCCGTTGTTGCCCCTGCCACGGGCTCTACTGCGCCATTTCTAAGTTGTTTGTGGCTCATCAGGTGGGAGGAGGCAGCGATCGGGTTTGTTGCGCACGGCCAGCCGAGCTTGGGCTGTTCAAGATTGTGTTGCTACGGTGCCTTCCTTTGGTGCACACAAATGCTGAACACGCGGGTGCATTAGTGTTTATTGCCATTGATACTCCATCTGGGCTTTGTGCGATTACTGCAAAGCGCTGAACTTTTTGTTGGGTATTGTTACTAGACATTGTTGTTGTGCATCAATGCTGAGCGAACTGTTCTAGCCATCGAAGAGCAACTTTTCAGGTTGCGTAGCGGTAGATCGGTCAAAGGCTAACAGCGCAATGAGTTGGGAAAAAGGGGTTACGCTTTGTAGAGGGGTTACACTTTGTAGAGGGGGTTACCATCGCGATTTGAAGGCTCATCAGAAGGGTGAATTCTCAACTTTTTGACTTCGGTCTGTTCCACGGCTGCGTATTCTGGCTGCCATTGCGGGGCCCTCAGGCGATGAAGATCACAAGGCCATCTCCTGAGAGTTGAGTCAGTCCCTTTCTTGTATCTCTAGCGTCTGAAACCCTTTATTCTGTCCTTCTTGCGCTAAGTCTAATCCAGTTCTGAGAGGAAGGCGGCAGGCGGGATTGCAACCCATAGGTCCGCATCAAGACTCTATGGGCAGTCAGCCCATCGATTGCGGGAGCTCTGTTGGAACTCGGGAGGAGTTCTGGAGGCAGGGAACCAAGAGGTAACTACTGTTTTCCCTTTATAAACCCAATTGTAACCCCTACCTGTACATCTTGCTATGTTTTAACGAGTATACTGTATGCCCCCTATCTTCGACTTTGGGCTTGACTCTCTGGACAAAAGCCAGACTAAGTAAAGGAATGCATGCGTAATCTCAGTTTCGGTTTATTGATCGGCTGAAAGCAGATGGTGAAAAAGGGGTTGCATCAAGGAGAAGGTTGGGAGGAAGGCAATTTTGCTTATGTTTGAACGGGTCTTGTAGGGCCAGGCATTGTTTCTTAAGACGAATGGCCTGACTGTTGTATTTTGTTCTGTGTTTTATGAAGGGCCAAGCATTGTTTCTAAAACGAAAGGCTTGGTCGCTATGTCTATTTAATTTAACCAAGCATTGTTTCTAAGATGACTATCCTGGTTGTTGTTTCTATAGGGTATTAACTGTGCAAACTTTGAGGACCAAACATTGTTTCTAAGATGAATGGTCTGGTCGTTGTTTATTTTTGGGTGGTTTCTAAACAGTCTCTGGGTCTTGACCCAGGGTACTTTGCTTTTTTTAGTGCTGAGAAAAGAGGGTTGAGCATTGTTTCTAAAACAAATGACCCAACTCTTTTGGTGGTTTTATTCTGAGGGAGGTTCAGGCCAAAGACTGGACATTGTTTCTAAGACGAATGGTCTTAAGTTTGAGGCCACAGGATTATAATGTGAACAAGGGAATATGACTTTATATATTTCTATATTTATATGTTTATGAGAATAAGGCTAGCAAGGCATTGTTTCTAAGACGAATGGTCTGACTATAGCCTTATCATAAATTAAGAGAGTATAACTAAAAAGCTATAACTAAAGGTAACTTGGGTCAGTTGAGCATTATTTTTAAGACGAATGGCTAACTCTTACGCCCACTTTGAAGATTAACTTGGGTCAGGTGAGCATTGTTTCTAAGACGAATGACTCTGTCTTACGCATGGCTCAGTGTTACGCCCAAGATTAAGTTCACAAAGATATATATAACTTGGCTACTAAACAGATCAGGACGACTAAGCATTGTTTCTAAGACGAATGGCTTAGTCATATGCCCAATGAAGAGAGTAGTAGTTCTGCAACTTGTTCGTGTATAACTAAGGCAAAGAGTTGGCATTGTTTCTAAGACGAATGACCTAACTCGATGCCCTATGTAAGCTATATATAAAAGGATAAATCATTCAAAGACTTTGAACTATTGTTTGCCAAAGGTAATTTGGGTTGGTAAGAGTACTTACCTTTGTGGTTTTGCCTGCATATGACTGAGTGCGACTACTACTTTGTAGGAGTTTCAATTTGGTAGGTAGTTGCTTTAGTTGCTCGCCACGTGCTAGAGCCATAGGAGTATATTCGATTTTTGCATTTTCTAGGATCATTTATTATTCTTGGGCTTGTTTAAATCTTGGTAAGCCACTTTCTCTACGGGGAGCGTTGCTGAAATTTTTGCAAATCCAAGGAGTTAGTTAAAATTTGACCTTTCAAAATTCAGTTTAAATTTTATGTATGACTTAGTAAAAATATAGAAAGTCTCGTTTTCTAAAGGGAGTGCTGCCCAAATTTTTGCTAACTCAGGGAGTTTGACAAAAATTGGACTTCGGAAAGTTTAAGACTATTTCTGTTTTCATATTCAGGCTAATGTAAATTTTGAAAAGACACTTTTCCTACGGGAAGTGTTGTCGAAATTTTCTTAGTTTAAAAGGATTTGGATTATATTTTGATAGGCCGCGACTCTGGCAATCCACACTGAATAGGGGAGATGTTGCATACTCCAACGAGTATGGGCAGAACCAAGAATCAACCAATGTAGGATGAGTATAGATGCAACGAAAGTCTGATAAACGGACTGACTCACATAGACTGACTCACATAACATCACTCCACACACATTCAATCATGAGATGGTGGGGTCTGAGCCATACATAGAAGATGCTCAGCCCCGTACGCACATACACAGATGAATGGGGGAGGAGAGACGAAGAGGTGGGGGGAGTTAGACAGCACCGAAAGTCACCGAGGTAGAATCTGATAGGTCACCGATACGATAGTCCAAAATGTCGTCCAACAAGATCAAAATATCGAGGACCCTAGGTCACCAATGTCGGGAATACAGCGTGCGAATGTAACCGGTGTCTGAACTGTGATGTCGCCAAGTATCAACCCCGACGATCTCCAAGTCTCCAATCTGGTAAGTACCACAGTCTCATATCACCGAAGTCCAACTCTGATCTCTGTCCAACTAGCATAAGTCTCTAGTCTGAAGAAGAAGAAGAAGAAAAAGAAGAAGAAGAAGAAGGAGGAGGAGGAGAGAGAGAGAGAGAGAGAGAGAGAGAGCTGACGAGGGAGGGAGGAGAGGTCCTCCGGCTCCCAGGTACCTCAGGCGGCAATGGCCGCCGTGCTGGCTCAGTCGCCCTGCTGCTGCTCCGCTTGCTGCTGCGCTAATGCTGCGCTGCCGCTGCTGCTCCTTGCTCGCTCCTGCGCTAAACTTAGCGCATCAAAACAGCGCTCTGGCGCTGACCATACCGTACCGGTATAGTGCCGGTAGGTCGATGCCTCCAAGTGAGGCTGTACCGGTACTTTATACCGGTGGGGCAGAGGCCGGCCTCAATGCTGCGAGGCCTGGCCGTGCCCTAAACCGTCCAGATGGACGGTTCAGCCCCAACCGGCGGGCGGCAGCCTCAAGAGCGCCGCTAGGCCCAAACGATAATGTCGTTTGGGCCTGCCCGTTGGGTACTGGTCCAAGATTAGGCCACGAGGGCCTGTACTATCCCAAGGTCGGGCCTTTAGGCCCTGATGTGTCCCTCCAACCCTAAGTCGGGTCCGGTAGGGCCCGTGTGCGTCAAAGATGTAACACACTCCCCCTCTTAAAAGACCGAGCTACCTGCGAGGGCGAAGTTGTCTGTCCGATACCGGGGTGGGTCGGGCGGGACGAGCTGCGTCCTTTGCAAGGCGTCGCTTCTCGTAGTCGGCGAATATGAGGGGTGCAGAAGTCTGCAAATCTGTACTGGAGATCCACCGAGTGTCATCAGGCGCACATTGCTTGAATGTGACTTTGTACTGCCTTGGCTTGTTGCCATACTTGCGGTGCGTGATGACTCAGTCAACTTCCTGATGTCCGTCCATAGAAGGCGGATCCTGTAATCGACGTCCGGGGAACTCGTCAGCTGAAGGTGGCGTGTAGATGGCCAGCTTTGATGCATGGAAGACCCGATGCACTGTCAGGTGCGGTGGAATGTTGATCACGAAGGAAGGACCTGCGGGGTCGTCTCCAACGGCAGAAGTGACTTCCCATGGTCCGAACCATTTTGGAAGGAGTTTGCGCGAAACATCCTGCTCGAGCGCAAATTCCTCGGAGAGGACCCAAACAAGGTCTCCCTCGCGGAAAGGACATGGAAGTCAACGTCGGTTAGCTTGCTGCTGCATGCGGACCTGAGCCTTTTGCATATTTGCGCGGGCTTTGATCAGCAAGTCCTGGTACTTTCGGATGGAAGCGGGAGAGCAAGTCCCGGGAGAGCAAGGGACGTCTATTTCGGCAGCCTGTGGCAAAAGGAGATCAGCGAAGATCCGTGCTTTCTCTCCACCATGATGTAGCTCGAATGGTGTGACGCAGATCGCCGGGTGCACCGAAGTGTTGTAGGCGAACTCAATGTCGGGAAGCCGGTCAACCCAATCTTTCTGGTCGGGACGGATGAGCGTACGCAACATCATCTGAGCGGTCTGGTGCGCTCGCTCCGTCTGACCATCTGTCTGCGGGTGCCGAGCCGAGCTTGGCTTCATTGTCGTGCCGGACTTAGTTATGAGAGAGGTCCAAAAGGCGGACATGAAGCGAGTATCTCGGTCGCTCACTATATCTTCTGGAACACCCTGGTTGGTAATCCAACCGGTGTGCAAGAGTCGTGCGAGCTCAGGTGCTGCAGCATGTTACTTGCAAGGAAGGAAGCGAGCATGCTTGCTCAGGCGGTCAACGACCGTGAGAATACCGTCATGGCCGTGGCGATCGCGGGGAAACGGGCCTGTCACGTCCATAGCAATGGAGAGGCGTGGTGCCTGAGGAATCGGCAACGGTTTCAGTTCGCCGAAGGGGACTCGAGATCGACCCTTGTTATGGTGGCAAATTGCACATGACTCAATGTACCTCGTGACGTCATGAAGGACGTCGGGCCAGTGAAAACGCTGGCGGAGGCGTGCGAGTGTGCGGTTCACGCCAAGGTGTGCCGAAAGTCGTGCGTCGTGGAATTCGCCGACAAGACGAGTCCGTAAGATGGGATCTTGGGGCACAACTAACAAGTCCTTTCCTCTCGTGTGAAGGAGAAGGAACCCGTCGGAAATCCGATAGTGGCTAGCCGGCGGGTGATCTGATGAAAGCTCTGCGTAAAGCGTAGAGTAAGTCGGATCGGACTTGTAGCCTTTGACGAAATGCTGCTGCAGATCGTCATCGAGGTCGAATGCCGTGGTCACAATGGCACAAAAGTCGCGCCGTCGTGAGAGGGCGTCCGCAGCTTGATTGGCGGGACCGGGAATATGACACGGGTCAAAATCGAACTGGTCGATGTAATACATCCATCGACCGATCGTACTAGTGACCGTGTCCTGCGTTTTGTAAAATGTCAACGGATTGTTATCCGTATTCCATTTAAAACGCCGACGGCCGAGAAGAAAGTGGCGCCACCGTTTGAGAACGGTGACGAACGCAAGTAGCTCTTTCTTCCTTGCGTCGTCGAGAGTGTTGACGAGAGGCACCTTTTGGGAGAAATACTCAACCGGATGCCAACCGTCCTCGTGACACTGTTCCAACATCGCACCAATACYGTATCCCGAAGCGCCCGTAGTCACTAGGGTGGGGTCGTATATACGGAGGGCAGGTGCGGCTTGCATCGCTGCCTTCAACGTACTGAACGCGCCACGGGCTGCGTCGTCGAACTCGAAGGGCACCTTCGGGGACTGAAGTCTCGACAAAGGAGCGGCCACTTTCGAGTATGACTCGACGAATCGCTGATAATATCCAGCCAAACCCATGAAAGAGCATACATCCGCAGTGCAACGGGGTTCCGGCCAATCCGCGATGGCTTGGATCTTGTCCGCTAAGGGACGAATGCCTTTCGGCGTGACAAAATGGCCCAAGTACTCAAGCTCTTGCCTGGCGAATTCGCACTTGTCGAGATTCGCTTTGTACTTGGCTAGTCGCAAACGAYTCAAAACAACGCGAAGGTGTACGATGTGCTCGTCCAACGTCCTACTATAAACCAAGATATCATCAAGGTAGATGAGGACGCTGCGATCGAGCAAGTCGCGAAACTCAGTCGTCATCGATGCTTGAAATGTTGCGGGGGCATTGGTGAGTCCAAATGGCATGATGACCCACTCAAAATGCCTGTACCGTGTCTTGAACACGGTCTTGTACCGGTCTTGAGGCTGGATTTCAATCTGGTGGTAACCTGACTTCAAATCCAACTTCGAGAAGTACGTCGCGCCGCCTAACCGCTCAAGGAGATCATCAATCCGAGGGAGAGGGCCGGCGTTCTTTACGGTTTGTGCGTTAAGTTTCCGATAGTCGATGCATAACCGTAGATCTTTGTTCTTCTTGCGGACGAAGAGAACAGGTGCACCGTATGGCGAGCAACTAGGGYGAATCCAGCCCTTGTCGAGAAGGTCATCGAGTTGTGCGCGAAGCACTTCGAGTTCCTCTTCGCTCGTGCGGTAGATACATCCACGCGGAGGGACGTCGCCAGCCTCGAGAGTGATCCCGTGACGTATGCGCCGATCCGGAACCGTTCCGGTGGGAGCCTCGAAGATGACTCTATATTCGTCCAAGAGGTGAGAAATGCGTGGGTCCGGCGGTGACGCGGCTGGTCCGTCCGGCGAGGGGAGAGCATGCAAGAATACAAGGCCCATCTCCTCGACGTCATTCCGAGCAATGGCGTCGCGAATCCGCGCAACGGAAACCACGTGACAAGCAATCGAAGTGTGAGGGGTCGCGACCGTACCTGGGACTAACACTCCGTTCCGATCATGGATGTGAACGGTTCGGTCATGGAAGTTCACCGGATGATTGGCGCTACGCAACCAAGACATGCCTAGAATCATGTCGAAGTCGAGGATGTCAAAAGACACMGGCTCGCACGCAAGTGGCGCAAAGTAGACCGGAACGCCGTCAACGCATCGGTCAATTGACTTTTGCGTGCGGCCGTCCGCGAGTGTAACTTGMGTAGGTTGCGTCTTTCTTCGAACGCGCKGGCCAAGACCTGCGCGGGCCATAAAGGCTTGACTCATGAAGTTGCGAGACGCTCCGCAATCARTCAAGGCACTACAGGTTGCCTTTCCGATTTGAATGCGGATATAGAGCAAAGGTGCGTCGGTTTCGGCGTACCTTTGGGTGGCGTGCTCGCGGTCGATCTTCGCAAGATAGGAGCGGAGATCGCTAACCGCTACCCCGTCGTCCATCAACGGAGCTGGTACTGTAGTGTGCAAGTAGGAGCGTAGATTTGCCATCAAGGCGTTGCAATGCGGCCTTGGCAATGTTCCGGTCGAGGGTAGAGGTATCCAAGCGAAATCCTCTCTCGTGAGTGGGTCAAGCTCCTCAAGTCTTGACCACGCCGTCGAGTCCTCGGAAAGCAGTGGCGAACTGACCG